ACTGCTTTTATGTTTGCGTCGCATAGTGGAGATCCAGTAAAGGCACAATGGCTGCTCGTGTGGTCACCCGGGTGTCCGGCGTGGGGCTGCAGTTCGGGTCAGCATCTCCCCACAGGTCATCACCCTAAAAACGAAAGTTACCCACTTCCTCCATCTGAATGGCTCCATAAAGATGCATAAAAGCTGCTCAAACAACAAGCGGGACCTCATTTTGAGGTTTAGTTCAGACCTTTGGAGACCTGGGTTTAAATGGAGTGGGTTAAATTCTTTGTTTTTTTCATTTTGTCTACTACTTTGGCGTGGTTTAATCACCGAAACAGCTTTTTTTTTTTTAGGTTACAGAAAGGCCACTGCTTTGAGTGAAAGAAAGTCTTTCAAAGCCCTACATATCTGAAGCAGAGGGATGATGTTCGGGGGCAAAGCCGGAAAGGTCTCCGCTCGGATTATGAGTATCAGCGGTTTTTTGGAAGTTCAGAAGCTTTCTGTGTTGGATCAACCGGGGGCACTAGTGCATTTGTGATGCTCGGAAATGAAAAAAAGACTTAAAAATGCCACGTTTACCTAAATAACTCTGATGCAGGGAAGAAGAAACAGGACAAAGGAGGTCATGCGCAGCCATGAAGCTACACGTTAATACTTGAAAATTGCTTATTTCTCCCCTCTCTTTGGTTGTGCCTCAGTCTAAAGGAACAGTTTTGCATGCCGAATAACAAAAAACAGGACATTTGTACTTTCCACAACACTTCACAACTGACCAAATATCGATCATGCATGTCTTTAGGAGTCACATGAAAACAGCAGGCACAGAATACCAAGTGGGTTTAAAGGATTTAAAACATACAGTAATTCCCTACAAAAGAATATATGGAAATGACAAATTTGTGCTACTGGTTTTCAGAGATGATTTTTTTTTAATTTTTTTAATAAAACAGAAGTCTACAGACCTGCAGACACACTAACCATTTCCCCACCCAGGGGGACAGAGGTGAAATCCTTATTTCTGTCTTTATTGGGCCTTATCCACATGTCATAAATAGGCTTGTGCAAGCTAGAGGGGAAGCTATCACGAGCTGGGAGGTGATAAAAGGGAAAGTAAGGCCGAGTTAGGAGCCGCTGTTATCAGCAGCAGCAGCAAGAATTACAAGCTCGGGCATCTGACCGCAGCCGGACGAGCTATCTGGGATCCTGTTATCCGCTAGAGGTACGCTGCCTCTGTTTAAGAGTTGTGCTCTCATTCGAAAATGTCCAACTAAATTGTTCCCCGTTAGAGTCTTGTGTAAATCCCACCAGAGATGGTGTCTCTGTGTGCTGGTGCGTGAGGGGTGATATTAGCATCTCAAACCATCATTCACTGAATGAAAAGCAATATAGTTATATGCATTTAAAGAAGATTATGTGTAGTTTTTCCTAGGAAAAAAAAAACGGAATGTATAATTTTAAGGATCAGTTTTAAGGGGACGTTAAACTGTTCATTTTGAGCCATGCAGATGAATGCAGAACTAAATAGGTGGACCACACCTTCCCAGTAATGTCGTACATCTACATGTAAATTGCACTCAGAGGTTGCATGTATATGGGTATTATCATATATGGTGTGGTCCATGTCCCATTCCCCATGTACAGTATATTTGGTAGCCCTTGTAGATAAATGCTAAACTCCAGTACATAAAGCCAAAGCAATTAAGCAGATACACGGTGAAAAAAATATATATTTGGGAGGAACTGGTTTAAAAGATTATTTGAAAAAGCAATTTCCCCCAAGTAAACAAACTACACCACAGCACAAAAGCACACAGTTTCATGCTGAAAGAAGCAGGCAAATTGCCAGACAAATTGGTCGTGCGCCCCCCTGAGAAATGTTTTTCTACTCCGTAACATTTCTTTCAAATTCCAGGAGCTGATCATTTACTTACACACCAAAAAGATGGTGGCTTCACGCCGGCTTTTCTGCCTGTTCTGCGTCTGTGGCGGTTAAGGTTCCATTCCATCTGGAACTTTAGTTTGAAGTATTCACACATGCATTAAATACATTGTCATGTTAACATGTTAAATATATACTCCAAAAGGCACCGGTCAACTGTTTTTCCTCCACATTCAGCGTGAGGTAATGGGTGCCCGGCAACGGTTCCCACAACTGTGCTACAGGCTGCTGTCAGGATGGGAGCGTCTTCCTTTTGATTCATGGCATGGCAAAGTAAACAAGTGCATGGATCATGTTGAACTTAACTCGGATGACATGAGATGCGAGCACAAAAGCACGAAAAAAAAAAAAAAGAGCATCTATTTCTTAAAATACAGTTTTATTTGTGAATTTACACAGGTTAGCAATACATCTAAAAGCAACTCCATTAGATAATCATTTATATAGGATTTTCACAGGTCACAAGGTAGCTTGGCTCATTCTGGCGTGCCAAAAGGGAAACTCGTTCTTTTTTAAATCTTTTTAAAAAATTTTCAACCAGAAAAAAAAAAAAAAAAAGGTGGACAGATAAGCATGAGAAAAGCAAGGTGCAAACAGCCGGGAACAAAGTAAAAAATGAAAAGGATGCGATGCACATTCAGTTCATCTGGGAGCATTCTCAGCTCATAAAATGGTTAATGAAAAAAAAACAAAAAAGAGAAAAAGGAGCCTAATGCTCTCAGCAAACTAAAAAGGGGATAAAAAGCATCCTGCAGTACAAGTGGAGAATGAAAAAAAAAAGACATTTCCAGAAGGAGAGATGCAGTGGAGGACAGAAAAATAAGACAGTCTGAGTGATAAAAAAACATGGTGTGTTAGTGCCAGGTAGTCCATTCCCCCTGCCCTTCTCTACTACACACACACACACACACACACACACACTTCCATTTTCAAACTCGCACTTCTTCTTCTCCTGCTTTTAGTTGCGTGACCTCGGCTCTTTGCCCAGAGCCAAAAAGCTGTCATTTAACACAGTTAAAGATGTGCCTCTGCGCCCTCCCTCCAAATCCAATACTTCACATTGCTCGCTGGGATATTGGTACATCTAGTTAAACTGTTGGGGGGTGGGGTTAGGGGGGAGGTGGGAAGATGTGTGGCAACCCGTCACACTTTGGCCGAGCGGAGTTCAGCGGAGGGTCATCCGACTGTTGCGACAGGATGGTGTTTACTAGAGAAACGACACGGGGGGGGCAGGCCCGGTAAATAATGGTCGGGGCTCGGATAGGAATTGGGATCCAATAGGAACAGAATGCTCACGTTCCGGTTCGTGGAGGAAACGAATGGCCAGATAGGCAAAGCTGCAGCAAATGTGGCATCGTGTAAAAAAAAACAAAAACAAACAGTTGAGTTGATATTTTGGAGCCTGAGGGGTGTCTCTGGGGGGGGGGGTGCAGCAGAGGTCTTGATTGGGGTCATATCGCCTACGCAGGCAGACGAGAATTGCAACCCTTGTCCAATAAAGAAAAGGAGCAAAAATATAGCATGGCTTTGAAAAAACAAAACACACACGCCACACAAAAGACATTCCCACCACACTGTCCATGATTCTCAGTTTAGCTGGCGATGGCTGATTATTGGATGTAGCATTTTGTTGAAAACACTCTTCGGAAGTCGAAGAGTCTAAACCTTTTTTGTTTTTTCTTCTTTTGGTTTGTTTTCCACGTGTGGCACCAATGAGATTAACCCTCTCTCCCCCGTTCCATGCACCTTCTTGGTCCGGACCTTTCTAGCACACCATGCCTTGCTTGCTACTTGCACAACTTCTACCGAATACTTCACAATCTCCTTCACTGGTGAAACCACTCGCGACTAAAATGTGTGATATATATCATGAGAGAGAGAAAAAAAAAAAGTGCTGCACGACAGAATAAAAACATACAGTTAAAACCTACAGCCCAACATTTCCAGTTTGTATATATCTGTGTTATATAGTAAACTTTGTGCTCTGGAGATTAAAAATATAACTTGAGAGATCAGGCATGGCTACAGAACAGAGTCAATAAAGTCAGCTCTCGCTAGAGGAGAAAACATGCGTAACATCGTGTGAATCCTCTGTAAAAACTTAAAAATGAGTACAAAAACAGAAGTAACTAACACCCAATTTGTGTTCAGTAAAAACAATCCGATTTCATGAGATGAAAAGCTAAACGCTGAAACGAGATGAGTGTTTTCCTCCGTTTTTTCCCATCGATTTGGCAAAGACGAAACACGCGGGAGAAGACGTGAGATATGAGAATGCTACACAGAGAGTGAGAGTTTTCATGATAGGCTGCCCAGTGTTCTTCCTAATTATTCCTCGTTAGCCTCAGTCTCACAGCCGTCCGCTTGTCTGGGATCAGTGGAAGGGAAGGCTTGTGTCGGAGGCCGCCGCTTAAAGTAGCCCCAAGTCTGCGAGAAAAAACCCTCTCTCGCAGTAAATAAATCAACACAAACCCTCCGGCTGGGCTTTTTCTTTTTTTCTCCTCAAGACCAGTTTTCCAGTGTGACTTGAAATTTGATGTGGTTTCTCAGTTCCCTATGCAGACTCGGGGAAAGGAAAAAAAGCAAAAAAGAAATCAACTTGTGCATTTTTACAGCCCCCTGCAGAGAAATGATTTCAGAAAATTGGACTATGAAGCAGGAAACGCACAGAAGAGACGGGGGGCTTAGTTTTCAGTCTGGGGGAGAACAAAAACGATTAAGATTTAAATGGCCTTAAATGACACATCCAAGGAGTTCTGCTAGAGTACTGCATGTATGATCGGGCGTGGAGACACGCCAACGTCTGCCCCCCCACCCCACCGACCCAAAATCCCCCAAACATTCCTGTTTCTTTGCAAAGGAGAGACCCTTTCTTGTTTTTTCTCTAAACTTTCCGCTGTTGACTCGATCCTCTTCCTCTTGCACGTAAAACATCTTGTTAAA